TTAAAGGTGAGCTTGATATTTCTTGAGCACGAATTTGACAAGAAATTTACCTTTCCAATTCTTCTAATAAAATATTCAGGGCCAACCTACTCCTTAGAAATACGCTATCCATTCGATGTCACTGACACAAAACGGTCGAAACACATTGGATAGAATTCATTTCATGATAAAATGAGTACCGCCACAGTCTTAAACTGACACTTCTTAGCTCAAATTAAGCCTTATTAGTTGAAATAAAAACCATTAGAATCTACATTCTACACATCTTTACATATAAGATACAAGTTATGTTGTTCTGCCTTGGCCTTCCTAAACCCGTGAAACTTTTTTTTCACTTTTCTAAAATCAAAGCTTATCGAACATGAATGAAGGATTTCCAGAAATTCTTGCCAGAAGGGATTTCTTCGAGTAGGGCAAGATAACGCTTCTCAATGTATCGTCTATATTTGAAACTGCCGCTGTTCTTATATCGAATTTTAGAACCTAAAGTTCTTTTCCACTTTTTTCAAACTTCAATTCAAATTACATGTTAAATTGAAACGCTATCCTATAAAAGTCCGATATACCGTCAAAGTTATTGCGCAAAGTGTTCCCATTAGATAAGTGAAGTACTCAACTCCTCAAATACTCTAACGGTAGAGAAACCACTGTCTGTTGTCAAAAAATTGGTTACGAGCGTTATCTATTAAGCATCATGGAGATGATTAAATGCACGCATGGCATATGAAATGACCTGGAAAAATCTATTAATGTACCAAACTGATGTTTTTATCTTCTCTGATAAGTATTTTACCAATTTATCGGCTTTGGAAGAAGAAAGTTTGATCAACCTAAGGCGTGTGATTGAACTAAGCAATCACATGGATCGCAGCGTATATCCAACCACTGGGCTGCACACTTCTTAACTATTTTCAGGATATTCAGGAACAGAAAAAATAACAGCAACAATAACAATAACAGCGAGCATTGAAAGCAATTCTTCTAGCGTTCGACCCAGTGCATCAGAATTCTGTTTTCTGCTTTTCTGCAAGAAATTTCCATGTGCCTCCCAGCTGAATATCATACGACAAGAGTTAAGAATTGGTGTTTGTGTGAGGCGCCTGTGGCTGATGGTTGATAGCTGTTATCAACCTTCTACTATCAAATGATCAACTGGATCATGGCTAACGAAAACGTTCAATGATCCCTTAATTGTTTAACTTGATATAATTTATCTTTTAAAAGAAGACACATATTTAAGTGATTTCTGGTTTACGGGAACAAATTAACTAACTAGTACTTCACCACAATAACCGGACTGTAGCCTCTCAATTTAAGTAGAAAAGTTCGAAAGTTCGTTAAAACCACTTTAACATGTTAAACAAACCTCATCCTTTCGGCCTAAGGGAAACGGTACCAGACTTTTTATAGGAAAATAGCGGCATTGACATTATATATCGGTAACCAATCGGCAGTCATTGGAAATGCCAGATATACATTCAATCACCTTTACAAAGCTCAGCGAAATCGAATAGATGGTTCATATCTAAAGTGTTGATTGACCCCGAACGTTTATCCCTCATACTGTGATCGTGTAGCGACAACACGCAATACTTCTTGTACATTCATTGCCGTTTAGGCTTGCGCTGGATCCAAATATGATGCAGAGTATCCCCTAGTTTCCTCCTAAAGACGTAGGACAGCGAGGACTTTTGAATAAAATGGACCAAAGAGAAAATGGGGAAACACCGAGTTCGAGTTAGAATTTACCAAGACTGTTCGATGCGCAGTATGAAATTCTTGATTCTGAAACGAAAACTCGATATGCCACAACTCTTTGTAGGTTTTTTTTTATACTACCCGTCTTCACGTCTACCTTGCGGATCCCAGCACTCCTCACATTCGATTCGTCTTGACATTCATTGTCCGCGAAGATCTTCCAACTTTACGTGTGGCTTCTGTTGCTTCTTGAGGATTTCAATTTCATCGTGAATGTCGTAGAATGCTGCGCGAGCAATTCTCCTTGGGGTCCTGAGATAGCCGGGCTGTACCGTTGCCAATTGGATTGCAGAGAGTGATTTTTTCCCCAGACAAGTCCGGTACTGATTTCCCGACTCTGGAGGGATAACGGGCTTGGTTGGCCCGGAGCGGAATCGAACTAGCACCATGCTCGCGATGACGGACATCACTATCACTGTGCTATCCGCCTCTATCTTTGTAAATAAATTCACCTTTTTGGGGTAGAAATGTTTGAAAATGATGATGTAACGATAATTTGTAATATGAGATTAAGTTCTGGAATCGGAAATCATATGCTATGGTAAACTTTGCTCATGAAAACAGCAAAATGGAAGAACTGATCCCTACATAGGATGGAACGCTGGAAAAGTGATCTAGGCTGACTAATTTGTTCGTTTGTGGACCGGCACAGATGAAACACCAACAAATGAGTTGTAATGAAACACCCGCACCTCCTCCTACGTTGAATGATCTTGAGATTGGTGAGCATGAGAAGTCATCGTAACCTTTTATTAATGGAAACTGGGTTCTAGAAGTGTTACCGTGCATTTGTCCAAGTTGCGAACAACCTCATCATCGAGCCCAGATTTGGTTGCATTTCACAATTTGCCAAGACACGGACAGGAGCTTTACGCAAAAGAAGCTTCGAAGCTGTTGTTCTGCTCATGCGTAGTACTTCTGAATGCTCTCGAATTCTTGAGTGATCATCGCCGATGGAAAAGGGTGCTCACAAACGTCCACATCTTCAAGACTCACTTTTATCAGGAAAGTTTTAGAATGAATTTTGTATCAGATGGTCATTGAAGATTCCCTGACAAAATACAATATTGATATTGTGGGGGTTTTAGCATAAAGATGTACGGGGAAGTTTGCATTACAAAACGATGTGTAGAATATGGATTCAATGGACTCGACTCGATGTGTCAACATCGCGAGAACGACCACCTGTGGACCATCGACTAGCGTTAATCTGGCTCTGCAGAAGACGAAGACGTCGAAACGTCAACCAAATAAACCTTCTTTGCCAACCTCGTAACAGCTCAATAACCCAAGAAAGTACTGATGTGTAGAATAATTACGGATATGAAAACATTCAGATTTCTTTACTCATTTTACCTTTCATTTTACGGCATCAAACGTTTTATTTAAAAAAAAACTAGTAGCGAACTAACAGCAGCAAGTATATCGCATTCGCCAACACTCAGTGCGTCTTGGACAAAGGCAATACAAACCACCAAGCTTCTTGCTCTTCCACTCATTTCGACAGAAACCCGAGTGGAATTGCGCTATTGTTCCTTTAACGAGGAAGCAACCTATAATAACCAACTGGAAAACCATCTGGTGAATCTGCATGACTACTGGTAGAGGCACTTGGTCGTCATCACACTACCATAAAAAAGTACTTGGCACTCGTGAAGCGGCACAGCGACATCGAGAGAGTACACGATGTAATCCGCCATCGCGTCGGTTTGTCGGTCTCTTATACTTCTTCCGCTAAAGGAAGAATTCTAGACGTACTCGTTGAAGTGGGACAATCGATATCTCTCACATTGAGACGTCCCGAACCTTTGTGCTGCCGCAAGTACAATATGTGCCAACTTAGTCAAGACCAAAACCACACATCAGCAAAGCACTACTAGGCCAATGGTGAGAGTAAGACGACAGGAAGATGACGAGAACCGTTAGGACCGTTGTATAACGGAGAGAGAGTTCGAAACAAAGGGCCATGCTAATCAGCTTCATTATAGAGTTGCCCCTGTGAGATAGGAGACCAGACATGTGCCGTTTTGTTTCAACGAGGCGAAGATTTTTAGTTGAGAAACGATTCTATACGACGACTCTGGACCTTGGTTTCAATCTTTCCCCAGCTCCAAATGTTTAACTTCACCACATCTACTGCCTCAAATCGAGGCGCGAGCAGATTACGTCTCATTTTTACCGAATTTTTAGAAAGAAAAGCATTAGATATCGATATTATTATAGATATTTCTGGACGTGATGATGCAACCACGTAATTGGTCAACACGTAATTATATAAATAGCACAAATATTTTAACCGCGGAGGTAATCGCAAGTTTTTCTGTATCTCAGGGAGCCTTCCCTATGATAAGTCTGGTACCAATTTGACGATCCATCATGGCCAGGAAGCTTGATTTGTACCGGGGATAAACCATCTCGTATAACACGAAAACTGCAACTATAACTGCTTTCTCGCGTCCCTGAACTTCCTAAAACAAGCTTAACTATATAAAACAAATACACATCATGTTGCAAACACCGCGCTTAAAAATACTGTGAAATCACGAATGAATGACGTTAAATGGACAAATAAAGTTTTCGGCGTTGATCAATCCCTGAGGGATGGACCGTGCGTTCAACTTCACTAAGCATCGTTGGAGCTGGTTGAATGCATAACTGGCCTTTACGATGACTCGCGATGGCTTACCGATGCATCGAATGTATGCTGCTATCCTCCCAAACAAGTCTGGTACCAATTTGCCGACGCCGGAGGGATGGAAGGCTTGGTGGACCACGGACGCGTGGGTCCACCCCATGTGTGTCGCAGAGCGCCTCCGACTACTGCGCCACGATCGCCCTTTTGACATTTAAAATGAACAACATTAACAATCCGAATTACAATTTATAGAAAGATATGTTACAATGACCAAGTATGTGGATGGACTGGGGAGGGAGGGGGAGTTGGTGATTAGAAAAAAATAAAGCGTACATCTACGGTGATAATCGTTACTTGTAATAATTCTACTAAAACGCGTCGTTGATCACAGAATTCTCAGGAATGGTACCATTTCTTCTACTTGACTATCCGAAACATAACGTTGACGAAAAAGAATACTACCAATAATAATAATGATAATAACAACAATAATAATAATCCACATTTACAAGTTGACTAACAAGTTTCAACAACAAACGCAATGTGTTTCAACAATATTACAGGGTTAAGGTACTAATATTCTTTGTTAGACATCAACACCAATAAATCACTCGTATTCGTTTGTGGATTCTTCAGGAGTGCCCTCAGAAGCACCGTTCTCTTTTGTTTTTCTCAACATCTTTTCAAGCATCTCGTAAATGATCACAGGCCTTTGGAAATCATTATCCACTACGTTAAGCAGGAAGAATTCATCATGAATTTTTTGGAGAATCTTGCGCGAATCAGAATCTTTGGGGTACAGATTTGCCCTGGAATTTGGAAATCTAAACATCTAAAGAAACTCCTACGATGCTTGGTCGAAAAAAATTACCAGTGCTTGATCCACGCATCATATGCTTCGTCTTTCCAGGCACGAAATGCCAACGGATCGACGACTGTTGGCTGTGCAATTTCAGCTCCAGGGAAAACGCCCCACGTGACAGCAATTGGAGTTGTAGTCTCACCATTCATGCGATCGAATGAACCCTGATGAATTGTGAGTGATACACGTTCAAAAAAAATCTTAAAGTCTTGGAAAAATTTAAAAAAGAAAACAGGAGATAAATAACATACATCATGATTGATGAGGTGATAATTGATTCGCGGGGAAAACTCGTCAATAATCTCCAGAAGGGATTTTGCATTTTCCTTGCTAATGAAACACTCGAGATAAGCCTAAAATGTTTCAAAAATGAAGACCATAAATTAGGGATGTTTGTGGAAACACAGAAGATGACACAGGCGAAACAACATAACTAGAAAACTATCCGATTCATCAATCAGCAAATTTTTCAGCACCAAAAGCGCTATATTTGACAATTGCCTACCACTACTGCTCTTTCTTAGAAATTTTAAAGTGAACTGTTTCACACATAACTCTAAAACTCTACAAGTATCTTTGGATCATTTTTTCCAACAACAATAATTTGTAGGAGGGAAATATTCAGTAATTTTCCAGATTAAGTTTAAAACTGACTCTTCCGAAAGCAAAACTGAGTCGAATTAGTAAAGCACTACGTGGCTGGACGAACTACAGAGCTATTAGGTCCTACTTAACGCATGCTCAAAATTGCGGCTTTTGGTACTCTGAATTGGTGTTTATAAGGCACAAGTCAAATCTACGGCTAAACGCTTCTCCTAAGAACCAGTTCAAATTTCCTCTTTACACATACCGAATGAGAAAAAAACCATATGGTTTCGATTACCTTCTGATAACAGTAACCACCGGGTTTTCCCCATCCCACTAGTGGATCTGTGGACGGAGCACCATTTACTGAAGGTTGACTGTTCACAGTTAGAATACCCTAAGAACTAAGAATAACGTTATTAACAAACTGTGATCACAAACTATAGAAGATGCTAAAGCGAAATAATTCCGCACGTTTTGGTTGCACCATAACAATTGCTCGTTGATTAGTCTCGTCTCTGGCTGAACACCTATTTCCTTCTCATTCCATGGAAGGCTTGTCACCTAAGAGATAACTCTGAGCTTCACTGAACATAAATTGCAATACGTTCTTAAACTGCTTGTTAGTGCTCACCGGGTACTCCCTTCTTTGATGAACAACAAGGAGAAATCCTTGACCATTTTCTTCTCACTGTTATCAAGGATAGGCGTACCGACGGTCAAAAAATCTGTAAATTTTAAACAACCTACCTTAACTCCGTGCTCATTAGTCTCCTGAGAGATAAAATTTTTGAACACTTTCTTTACATCATCGAATGAGAGTAACTCTTCGCCATACATTTTAAGGAGGTCTTCTTTTTTAGTCTGGGCTTAAAGCGAAAACCTTCAGTGGAATAAAATAGCATACAGAAATCACATTGACGAACATGTTTGATTAAAGACTTATCTTAAGATGAAATAAATAGTAATCATTTAAATCGCCGAATGCTGGAGAAGAACTATTTCCCCATCGACCATTAGGAAAGTCATCCCAGTCCTGTAATAATAAACTCCGAGAATATTCAATAAGAAGGAAACTAACAGAATCAAAACCCGAGTTCTGTAGATGTAACTTTTCGGCCGAGCGCTCCAAAATATAGGCCGTACGTCCTCCTTACATCTGCAAAGACGAAACTACGAAAAAAACCGAAATATCATGAAAAAACAGGTTGGTTAACCATGGTTTTTTAAATAATTCAGGAGTTTCCAACATAGCAGAACTAAAAGGCAAACCTCAGAGGGTGATTCGACCCGTGCGGTTCCCACGGCAAAGCTCGCATCGGTCTCTTATGCCACAAACCTAGTTCTTGAAGCATTTGCCTTAAACAAAACTGTCTCGATTTAACTTCATAGGAACTGTTACACAACACTAAGTAGATCATTACAGAGATGTAAAAATAAAAGCAGAAACTCAGAAAGCTTAGGAAGACTTGTAGTCTTACCGGCATGCTCCCTCCCTGTTCATCGTGTATAAATGTATTGAGGGTGCGGATCCGTTGGCGAGAATCCTACGGCACATTTCGATGGCCTGAATAAATGCTCAAAGCAACACAGAAAATCGGAAAATACTTAAACAACTATAGAGTACAGTGAATACTGTTGTCTTCAAATTTTCGCATGCTTTCGCTGTCGGAGTCATAGTTACTAAGATTCTTAAATGTTCCGCCCCCACGAAAAATCGCACGGTTCCCAGCACATTTTTCATCTAACTGGTAGAAGTTCGTTGAGTTAGGCTGGTTTATGGAGTTTGAGAAACCCGTATCAGGGGACTATCAATTAGACATCACCGGCCGCAAGAGAGATTCTTTGATCAGAAAGCGGTTTGAAACATCGTAATTGGGTTCCGTCGAAGAAAGCCGCAATCGTTAGAGAATTGGTTTACTCTGCACACAGCTTCTGGGCGTAAATGTCGAATTCTTCAGCTAGGCTGATTCAGTTGCAAGTTGAACACCTACTGTGAATACACCGTCGCTCGATTCCCAGTTGCTACTCCCTACCACGGAATAATGAACTTTAAGCTCTTGGATACAACACTAAATTCAAAGTTCCAACTTCGTTTTTGACAGTTTCATACGAAAGTGTGGTGTTCAAAAAAAACAATTTCAAAACTTTAATCATAAAATTACCGACAAAATTTAACCTATGATGCCAACAATGTAGTTGAAAAAAATGAAAGTCTTCTAGAAGTGGAGAGAAACTTGCCCTAATGGTTCCATACTTCCGTACAGCATCGTCGTCATGCTTGATTGGCTCTAGATCTAACAGAATTGACTGAGGTATTGTAAGCTGAGATAGCATCGCTATCCGACGAATTGAATCGTAACCCTCAAAAAGGCTTTATAAAAAAAGACAAATGAATACGATTCCAAAACACAAGGTGAAAAAACTCAAGAAATACAAAGAATGCCTACCATTATGGGCATAATCCCTGGGATTATTGGAACAGTGATTCCTATCTCACGACAATCACGTACAAATTTTTCGAAAACCTGAAGGAGTTAGAGGATATGACAGGAATACATCATGACAGTTGTCATATACAACCTCAGCCTCAAAAAACAATTGAGTGATGATGAACTGCGCACCGGCATCACATTTCGATTTCAGATACTGCAAATCAGCCTTATAGGACGGAGCTTCAGGATGACCAAGAGGATATCCTTAAAGAAGATATCAATTGCACAAATCCAATGAGATCTATGAAAACACATCGTTCCAAAAAAGAGATAGATCTAATATTCACAATTTTCTTCTAATCTATCGAACGAATTATGAAACTAGTTGAACTAAATGAAAAATGATAATATTGTAAACTGACTTTCATATAACCTCAGTATGATGGTTAATGTGCCTTATTTCATTGATAAGTTAACAAGAGGTTGTTACTAAACATCTATTTAGTTAACGTTTTCTAAGATAAAGACGTCGAAACGTTACCCGAATAAATGTTTGGTAACAAACTTGCGTTTGCCTATCAATGAAAAAATTAAAGAGTGAAATATAACCACAATGATGATGAGATATTTGCAAACCTCCAGACCGCAGGTATCTGCGGTGGTAGTCCTTCGTTTCGCCTTTCTCTCAGCCATGCTATTGACTTACGGGTGCTATCAGCAATTATCCGTCAATGGGATTGGTTTGAAGGAAATAAAAAGCGTTCAAAAACCCATCATCCCACCCAGAGAAAGCATTACCGTATAAAATCCCGCTTTATAATTAATACATTTACGATGAGGACGGTTTTTCGATAACTGCAACACCTAAGAACCAGTGCTGATAGACTTATCGGACTTTGCCTCGTCGTTTCTGTACGTATATGTTTTTCTACAAAACGTCTTTTTAAATCTCAAGAATAGTTATAAAACTAAGTCCCCAAAAAAACCGAACAGAACTTCTGAAATTGTTCGTGCAAGGGCAGCAAACAGAATTCATTCACGAAGAGCAATACATCATACTGGAAAAAACCGCTTGCTAATCACTTCCTATCCCAAAATATGAACCCAGACAGAAACAAAAAAATGACAATTATGCTGTTTGTAGGCAAGAGAAAACTAAAACCTCTTCAAAGTAGAAAAATTCATCGAGGCTGAAACAAGCTCGAATAAACAGTACCCTTCTTGTACTTATATATTATAACACTTATTTCGGTCAATAAAGTCAACTACGAATTGGAATTGTTTGTTAAAATTTAGGAGGCTACAATGATGCCAGATCGGATGCGTTTGCGGTGGGGAACAAACGCGCTATTACCCTTTCCGGGGGCTAGCGCGTCACCACCATTCCTTGCGATTCCTTCGAAATAGCTGACAGACAGACGACATGGAGTTTTCTAAATATCTCAGCATCTCCCACATCTTCTTATGCGAATACAAATTTATTGGTTAAGTTTTATCTGCTAGGGTTACGAGTGCTTGGCTGAGTAGATCGTATCTGAATTTGACCTTTCCAGGCTCTGAAGAAGGCGACACCACCGAAACGTCAGCTATTGTATCCTAATAAATTCTATAATAATAACTTCGTGTCTGCTTAATGAAGAAAAACGTCGAATTATCTCAGTATCATTACATCACATGGTACCTTGCCGTGAAAAATTATAATAGGCGGTAGATAAAAAGTCGACATTTAATTTAAAGGGCTAAATAAATGTTAGCCCCTATGCGAATGCTTCTACAAATCAAGACGTGACTATCCTACATACTTCTAAAACAATGAAAGAAAAAACATTGTTCCATTGATATACCTGGGCAAATAGGACTATGATTAACTATAATAAGACAAATAGGACCTATTGTTAAAAAGAGGTCTTTGAAAAGAAAGTTGATACAAACAAGAGAAAAAGTAGCAAAAAGAAAGCAAATCAAGAGACTCGTACCAATGTAAAAACAACTGTCGCAAGGACGAAAAAGTGAAAAGCTAACCGGAACAGCAGATTGTGAAATAATCTCCAAATTCTTCACGGATCCAACGAATCATATCCAAAGCACGATACCTGTATATGGTAGACTCATAATCAGTGTCCTAAAACGCTTACTATGAAGTACCAAACAGTTCTCACATCATAAACACCACTATAGATGTACTTTTTCTAACTGTCCCATTTAATCACTACAATCGGACTTCGTTCTATTATTCCAGTATGTGCTCAAAATCCAAATTATCAAAATGCTGAGATATAACTTATTAAAATTACCGTGTTGTTGAGGTCTCCGCGTAAGGCAAGGATATTGCGCAAGCCGACCGATTTACTCTGTTCAAGATGCTTAATGGTCTGCTCTTTCGAGTACTGTGCACAGGTCATATGTAGCATAGTGTCAACTCGGCAATAATCTAGACAACCGGCAGCAATCGACGAAGAAGAGGTCTCCTTGTTCATGTTCGCTGTAAAATAAAGTGCAACGATCACTGAGCCCGAAAACGTCGGATTACCGAGTAACTACTCATTTTTTTCACATAATTTTCTTGTAAGTTGCACTACAAGTGATACTGTAGACATTGTTGTAGCGCCATCACCCTCTTGCATGTCAGCTTTGTCAACAATAGATAACCGTACCCAGAAGACTTCACTTATTCATAGGTTCGTTAGGTTAGCGTAGGGTTAGAGTTAGCCCATACGCCATTCCTGACGGCCGTAAAACCATGAACATCAACTTTTTCACATCAGATGTTATTTAAGACATATGAGAAAATCTTAAACCTCCAAATTTCTAAAGATGCAATTACAAGAAAAGCCAATAACTTCGGCAAAGTTGTGCAAGAATCAGAAGCAAGCATATGAGGAAGACAATTTCTCAAGAAGCTAGAATCATATATTTGCTAACTCAACGAATATCTAACTAGACACGGATGGACCATTGATTGATCTCAGTATGGACCATGATTATCTGTCCAGAAGAACTTATAAAGGATAAAAGAACAAAGACCTCGGCGCTGATCTATCCCTGAGAGATGCGCCTTGCATTCGACTTCATTAAGCGTCGTTTAGAGGTGATCGGATGCATATCTGGCCTTTACAAGGACTCACTGTGGCCTGACGATGTATCCAGCTAGTGCTGCTATCCTCACAAACGTCTGCTACAAATTTGCCGACCCCGACGGAATGGAAGGCTTGGTGGGCCTGGGACGCTGGGAAGGATCCTAGGTGTATTACAGGGCGCCACACGCTCCCTGTTTTCTATAAACCCAGACAATTACTACTATATGCAAGATATAAATCTCCCGATGGGGATAAGCCACCATTCTGTTCTTGAAACTAGTGAAGCCATATTTTGCTTTCCAAAGAAACCATGACGCATTCGCAACTAAGCACAGATGGAACTAAAGAACCATTCAAAAAAACCAACATCTGACTGTTGAGCTCTCTCATCCAGGGGTTTATCGACCTTATACGTGAGAACAGCTCTCGATGAAGCCCAAGAATTGAACTTAACCGAATTTCACAAGAACCAACAATTTCAACCACATCCACAAAGCAGGAGATATAGACACTGGCTAAAAACGTTTCTGGACCCATTCTTCACTTAGGTGAACTAAGAAGACACATTCAAGAGCACAGAAACTAACGTTAATTGATCGGTCAAAGTGAACAACATTTGGAATAGAAACACAACTTAATACCACTTTACTACCATCTCACCATCTCAAATGACAAGATGGGCCAGCCTTTGCTAAGCGAAAATACTACGTACCCACAAAAGATGTAATACGGGATACATACGTCGAAGCCTCTCTTGGCCCTTTTTGTCTGTGTCTCAGTTTTTTAAAATAAAACACTTGAAGAAACGTTTCCATCCAACTCAGCACTTGTGCTAGCACATTACTTACTTACCTGGATACTTGGACGGCCCTTCCTCACTAGTTGTGCGGCCCTCGGCATAATCTCTATTGTTTCGGAGTTTTGCTGGTTTAGCCATTGTGTTTCCTTGGAGTCTCGAGGTAAGCCTGGCCAAAGTGGCCCCCAGGTCGTCACCATCACAGACAGTCATCGCTGTTGTGGATGAGAGGGAGATTCGCCACCATTCAACTAGTTTGATACCAGGACGGTTCTGGTATTGGTTTACTCGTAGCTAGGCTTCCGGATGGGAACGTCGGACTCCCTCTCAGCTTGGGAGACCCTACTGGATGGGTGAATCCACGTTTTAAAAAAATTAATCCAAGCATACTATAGAGTATGAAAAACTAAATAGGAAAGAAAACGCAATATTTGTGGATTGGATACCTGGATCACTTGCTATGTGCCATGTAATGTCAACGAACAATGGACCACCTTCATTGAAGCGATCGAGACTGTAACTAGCCATTTTCAATGAAATTTTGAGATTTAAACGAAGCTGGCGTACCGGGTAAAAAAATTAGCAACACCGTTTGCTGTCTTTGGTGGAAAGAACTCCAGCGAGAAAAATGGTGTTTTATCCCGGATTCGCCGAGCAATCCTCTCATGAAGTGGTATGTACTTAGACTGCTGGCCAACCTGAACAACAGTTATTTGATCCCACAACAGTTTTGAAGGAAATCTTCAAAAAAAGCCATCCTTAAAAGAAAAAAAAAATAGAACCTACATCAAATGAGATGTGCTCGTCATCGCTACCGCCTTTCTCTTGTAAACTCAAAGCACTTCCTCTGGAACAACAACTATTGCGGCCAATCAATAATAATAATAAAATAGTAATATATGTAACATTACGACCCACCCCTCATTATTCATAACAAAACATAAAACAGCAGAACCACGATCTCATAACGACTCCCTGCTCCTTTTAGCTATGGTCTGCACGAGCACGAGCAAACTCGTCCAGTCCTAACGGAACTAAGCGTGCAACGCTCGAATTTCATAGCAGAATGCTTCTGAGTGCCTAGAAGCCTTGAAGTTCAGTGGGCATAAATTTCGCACTAGATTAGCTCAAGATTTATTCCGAAGAATGTGAATAGATAAAAACCTGAAATCAAGCTTCTATCAAATGAAAAGCAATGGCGGCGAGATGTTCTTCACTCCGTCCCAAAAATTTCTGAACGGAATGACGGCAATCCTGCCCGATAAGGAGAATTATATCCTGCGTGCAATAGTAGTTGTCTGAGGTTATAGAAAACAGAGGCCGCGTGGCGCAGTGGTTGGAGGCGCCGTTGCAACACATACGTGGAATCGATAGCTGCGCTCATGGCCCACCAAGTCTTCCATCTCTCCGGGATGGGCAAGTTGGTACCAAACTTATCTGAGAGGATAGCAGCACTGACTCGATACATCGGCAGGCCACCGCGAGTCATTGTAAAGGCCAGATATGCATTCAATCACCTCGAAACGATGCTTAATAAATTCGAATGCATGGCGCATCCCTCACGGATTGGTCAACGTCGGAAGCTTTATCAGTTTAAACTCAAAAGACCGACTTTGTATAAATCTCAGCATAGATAGTTGATATATTTATTCATATGATCTTATGAACTGATCTTCTTGAGCTGGTGCGAGGTTGGTATAGCTCTTCGTTGTTGTCGTTGCTGTTGACCTTTATCCTTTTTTTATAGAAAACAAGTATGATGGAGTGCTATTAGGATGGATGCAAAGATAAGCGCTAAATCGTGGTCGAATATCTATCGGCGCAAAAAAAAATACAAAAGGAAGGGACGGGAACCTAGTGAAGTAAATCATTCATGACAGTTTTGGATCCCCAAGAACGGGAATAAATGGTCCGTTCTCATTCTCTAACCTTTACTTTTTCTGCTTCGTGTTAAACGCAGAGCTTTAACGAATAACAAACATGTTTTAATTTTCTGAGAGCCTGAAATAACTTGTACACGACCGAAATCCATTTAGTCTCTAATTTTGAGACAAAGATGTTCGGAATCGCACCATAGTTTACTAATTATAACAAAAACAACTGTAGCTTAAAACTATTCTCGACCAAAAAAGTAAATTGTTTAATAAATCAGGGTGAAACGCCAAGCTTCTGGAACATACAAATGGTATTTTACGCCGCTTTTCGTCGGTGCTTGTAGCGCTGGGCACTCCGTGCGCCTAAACGCTGCGTCTTGGGTGTTGATGGATGCGTGCCACGCTGGCGTCGTAAAACTTGGAAATTTAAACTTCTCTCCACTTATTTTTTCGAAAATCTGATTCTTAAAGAACTAATAAAGTGAAATTGGTGCTTCGGAAAGGTTTTTATAATTTTAGAGCGACAGGATAACGATTTTCCCGTCTTTATCAAGTCCTCCAGTGTTCTGACGTCGGGAAGAATCGTCGGTAGTCATCGAAAAATCCGAGATGTTGATAATATGCGAAGTCGATGTGGAAAACTGAAGAATAAAAACACATACATGTATGGAATTGCTGACAAGGTGTCGATTTTCTCCAATTTTCCACTGTTGCTGCGACTTGTGACCTCTCTCTCGTTGGCAGAAATCACCATCCTGAAGAATTGAAGAATTCCACGAACATTTTAGAAGAGATTGTTGAACAGCATTAAACGAATAACTCCATCCAACAAGTGTCGTTCACAAATCAGAAGTCGAACAATTACAATCATGAAAAATTGATAAGGAAGCTCCTTCTATTCAGTGCTACGTGGCATTCATACGATTGATAGGGAAAGCTCATCAACGTCGCCAAGGCCTAGTTTAACAATTCCACAGGTGCTCTTTGAGTAAATCTGAAGTGGAACAGTACGATGGCAACGAGAAGAATAAGTATAAAGTAGGAATAAACTAATCATATGCATTAATAACATATCAAAATAATGTAGACAAATTTCAAATCTCCAGCTTGAATAGTGATTGGTGAGTCATATATGGATCACACTACAGTTAATATATTAAGGATTATATTTAAAATACAATCATTTGACAAAAAATTAAAACTAAAAAAGGCGCGATCATAGCGAAGGCAGCGCGCTCCGTAGCCACGCATGGGTAGATCAAATGGTAGCTCAGGGTGGAGTGCAAGGACCCACCTAATCGATAGCAAAAAATACTTGTTTTAACTAAAAAAACCGACCGCCCATAAACCTCGGCATAAATAATCGATAGTTGTTGTTTTTCTAATTACAATCTCATATGTGATTGTGAGGAAGTGCTCGTGTGGCGCAGTGGTCGGAGACGCCATGCAACACACACGGAATCGATCTACGTACCCATGGCCCACCAGACCTTCCTTCCCTCCGGGGTCGGCAAATTGGAACCAGAGTTGTTTGGGAGGATAACAGCACTTGTTCGATACATCGGTAGGCCACTGCGAGTCGTTGTAAAGGCCAAATAAGCATTCAATCGCCTCCAAATGATGCTTAATGAGGTCGAATGCATTCCTCAGGGAGTGATCAACGCCGAGAACTTTATTCTTTTTATTTTTATGTGACTGTGAGACTTGATGGGACAAAATGAGAGTTCTGCAGCGGTCTAGTTGTTCCTCCTAGTTCTATTCTTTTAAAAATGCATCACTAGAAAGTACGGTATTCGCTCTGTTCAATTTTCCTTTCTGCAGCAGAATTTGATTTGAAGCGATGTGATATCAGTTTGCTTAGTCTTTTTTCTTTCCATAGCATCATGGAGGCCGTTAAACCAATTACCCTTCTAAAAATAGGACCCATTTCATTCCAACAAACAATTTTTTTATCCTAAAAAGGATAGCTGTTTCACGGAAAGTAAGTGAAATAGTTATGAACTATAATCAGAGTTATTAAGCAAATGGAAACCAAAACCGACTTCCTTCATGGAATTTCCGGAAAACACGACGAAAGAAGGAGAAGCTGCTGAACTGGAGAAGAACTAGCGCTTATGGGTACCTTCGGTTCGCTCAGTGTTTTGCTGATTTCGAACATTCTTTGAATGTGCAGCTCTGATTCGAATTTCACATTCGATAGCCATCTAGTCCCTACTTTGTTGAGTATTTTCACTGGTAGTTGATAGTCGAGAAGATAGAAAAGCTGACAGCAAATTTCGGATATTGGCGGACGAAACCTGCGAAATCCTTAGTCCTTACCGCGCAAAGGAATTCTGCTTCAACCTCACAGCAACAGAAATATACGATGCGAGAGTTGGAGAGCTGATAAAATTAAAAAACATTAAATTTCATGCTAATGATAAGGACGGAGAGTATGTATCGATTCCTTGTCAGCTAGATAATAAGATATCAAAGAAACATCTGGAAAATGTTTCACTTTGTCGCACTTCATCTGAGAAGTAATTCAAATGTCAGCACCGAAAACAAAACCATAAATGGGTCAAAATGGCAAAGACTGCTGGTTTAAAACCATCAGTTATTTCTCAACTCAGTTGACAAAGTTGATTTACTAATATGTACCGCTTCATGCTTTCTTATTGAAAGACATAGGTTAGTATCTGGTGATAACCTTGAGTCTACCGTCTTTTCAAAATTAAAAGGGTGACCTCACCTGTGTTCACCGGCCCATGGATAGTATAACGTGGGTTCTTAACCTAGCACACATCCAGTTGCTAAAGCACATACCAACCCACCTCAAGAACACTCACATGTTTCCGGATTGTCTGCATAACACGAACGGCACTTTCATGATAGAGTCCTTCGACGATACCACCTTTTATAGAAGCGTGCAGAATGACTCCGCTATGCAAACCATTCTCAAACTCCTTATAAAACACGAAAAATTAATAAACATGTATGGCTTCTCAACTCAGCAGCTGATAGCTCTCTTAAAAGGATGCCCGAAACTGCTCAATTTTGAGATGGTCCAGAAGTATTTCGCACAAATGAGTGGGTTGGCAATTGGACAGCAACTGCCACCTAAACTCGACATTACATTTTTGTCTAAGATGAAAGCACCAGGAACCAATCTGCGGCCATTACTCTACTGTAGACATATTGGTAAATGCTTTGTCATTTGCTCAACATATGAGGAAATGGAAAAATATCTTGAGTTATTGAATTAATAATAAGAGTATATTAAATTAACCCTAGAGAAACCGAAAACAACTGGTTGCCGCTTGTGAACGTAGTGAAAACATATTGGTGCACTAGCTCTCCTATCACGTTTTACACACACAAATGGCATTTGTGCGAAAAATGTTTCATAAAGCGGTATCACCTTAGGAAGCGGTGGTCATCAGCTCAAGCTTGTAGTTCATCTCTGCAATTTAACTACTCAGCTCAACTGTGCCTCAACTTGATATCTTCCCGGTGCATTGGGATAAAGGCTCTCTGATACCTTTAGAATTTTTTTATAGACCCGCATCGCAGGAGGAAACTGCACTGGGCGTTCAACTCTAACCACCCCAGGTCTGAAGAAAGAGATGACGTCAAAGTGTTAGCCACAATAAAAATTTATGTAACAACCTTGTGTAAGCTTAAAAATACAATAAGGCATTGCTTAGGCATCATTCGAGATTCCTTTGCTTCTAAGCCGTTATTCACCTACTGCCCGAAGAAGTTCTAGACGGTGTTGACACGTTTCCAAAATGGAATGCAACAAACGAAGCTTTTAGATAAGATTATGGTAAGCTGATGTAACATCCTATATATACAACAGAATGAATTGCAAAAATATTTGTGACTAAGAGGAATGACGATAAATTGGTAACTACGAGGGACCGCAGTTGTGAATCAAAAAACTCTGTGAAATTGAGATTTTACCACTTACAGAAATGGCGACGCTTTTAACTATCGACGAAGATCCTGTTGCCCTCCAGTTCTATTCCAGGTCTATTCTATTCTATTCTACTCTAAGTTAAGACTTTGATTTAAAGAATATGTTCAACCCTAATCAAAGCTTTTTGGAAGTTAAAATCCGGCTATTTGAACAAATGGTTTGGTGTCGTACAAGGTTCCCACCATTTCCATCATTTTGATGAGTAGACTCTCCAAGTGTGATCTGCTTTGCTTCTAAAGTCGGGATATTATCTTGCCTTGTCATAAGCAGTTAATATCTTAATTAAATGAATAAGCTTATAAAAGACTTATAAGAGAATGAGCACTTTTTTTGTGGCTGACGCTTTGGCACCTTCGCCCACAGATCTGCCTTGATTCGACCCACATGCCCATCTGACGTCAATAAAATGCACTAACGACTTCGGGTAATCTTGTCAACAAACCTTGAGGTATCGTTTTGGTTTTAACCTACTTCCTCGGCTTGCTATGATTTTTTGCAGGATTTTTTCGTTTTTGATAGAGAACGACGATCAAATGGAGGCGTTAGGTAACTTCTTGGAACGCTAGCTGTAACATTTACCTTTCTGCAGTTATTCTAGGGAGTTAATTTATGCCCATATGAATAATAGAGGAACTTCCTATTATTGGACGAGGTGTCATGGATGGTTCTATAGTCGTTTATAACGGAATGCTTAAATACCGGATTGTCCGTCTTCGCGTGACATGTGGTTCAATGTAGTTCCTCCCGGGTTTATGCCCTTGGAATTGGAATCTATGAAAGTAGCTAATTTCTTGTATAGGCTTGCTAGTAAAGGTCTCCTGGGAGTACAGAGAAAACCTGGCCGGAGTTGTTCCAGATTTCCAGCATGGAGAATTTCCAGGCTCTTTCGTCCTAGATTTTCACCATGGACAATCCTCAGGCTATTTCTGCCATAAATCGAGGTGGATGTAGGCTGATGTATAAAGACGGATTCAATCAAATATATGGAGGAAATAAGAAAAAACAGTTAAAAACATAACTTCAATGATGCTGAGATATTTGCAAAACTTCGGACCGCAGATGTCTGCGGTGGGGAACGAACGAGAGACAGGCGAAACGAAGGACCCGCATGGTGTGGTGGTGAACGCGTTACTCCCCGGAAAGGACAATAGCGCGTTCGTTCCCTACCACAGACATCTGCGGTTCGGAGTTTTGCAAATATCTCAGCATCATTGATGTTATGTTTCGCAACAGACCCTGCCGTTAAAAAGAATAGGCAGTAAGTAAAAAGGTTAAGATAGTTAAAAACACTCGTGAGTATGATTTCTTGGTAAATCTTACGTGAAAATGAGATATTTGTGTTCTCGAAAACATGGAGAACCAATACAATGGTGGTACAAATATAGGAAAATTGAATTATTACAATAAAATTGACATAATATTTTCTCAGGACAAATAATAAATAAAATTAGGAATGACAGGTGTTTAAAAAAAGGTGAAGTAAAATAAACTAGGAACTAAGTAGAAAATAACATTAGATGATAAAAATTAATACAACTAAGGTTGTATTCGAATGACATCTCTTTAGAGATACCAGTAGATGCCAGAATGGTGAAGTTGCGCCATCATGGAAATGATGGGTGCAATGAAGAATGAAGGACGAAAACAAAAAAAGAGTTCTACCGTAAGATAAAACCAGTTAGCAGGACGCATCACGATGTCGGCCAGAAGATGGAGAGAAGGTCGTTTTTGAAATTTTTGACTGCTCTCCTTGAAGGAGTTTATGGGAAATACTGGTATAGATATGTCCTTTT